TCCGACAATGAAAATCCGTTGTATTGTAAAATTCGTTATATCAAAATTCGTTGTAGAAAGAGTTGACTGTATATATACAATTTGTAATTAGAAAAAAATTCGTCAGATAAAAGGTGTAAAATCACTTTATATGATGAAAAATTCAGAGGTTATAGAATATGATCAAGATGAATTGATTAGTATATTACAGGATAATAAGTATCATTTCTCTGAAATTAGTGAAACTGATGATGAAAATCCATTAAGCAAGTGTCTTATATATGTATATGATCACTCGTAGTGTTCTAACGAGGTTTCATATTTATTTGTCCTTGTCATTTATAATATATATATGGATTTACCATATTAGCTTATTTTATTTTTAGTTGAAAAACTTTTACGAAATGTATTGGATTCACATTCCTTAATGTTACAAACTGCTCAACTATCGAGACCTCGTGTATATAATGATAATTTGCAACACTTTAATATTTCTTCTCCTCCAAATACTCTGAATTGGACTTGTGTCGAAAGTGATTATGATGAAGCTGATTCAGACATAGAAGGAAGTCCCAAAAGTCAAGATATGCATAATTCAGATGAAGCAGAATCCTCAACTGCTGAAATAGTTCAAAGCGCAGATTCAGGCAGGGGTACTACTAAAGGTGGTGAGTATATTAAAAGCATAGCGTAATTTAATATTTTTTCCAAATTTTCGCTAATATTTTTTATTTTTCAGGTAATTGATTCAACTTATGAATGTAGTAATTGATTTAACATGAAATTGGTTAAAAATTTAGTATAAACAGAACGAGAGATAGTAATAGTAATAATTTGTAGAAAAAATTTATAATCTTGTTAACATGAATGTATAGCTAGTAGTTATATTAATTTGTAATAATAAATTTAACGATTTGTATCATTTGCGATTAAATATGATATATCAGATAATCGAAAGTCAGCAATTCAATATAAAAATGTACAGTGATTCAATATAAAATACTCAGTAATCCAATATAAAAATGCACAGCAAATCAACATAAAATACTCAGTAATTCAATATAAAAATGCACAACGAATCAACATGAAATACTCGGTAATTCGATATAAAATACCCAGTAATTCAATATAAAATACCCAGTAATTCGATATAAAAATGCTATCTGAATATTATTTGAAAGCTATATGAATGCTAGATCGAAATTTATGCAAGTGGCAGTCGAACTGTACCAATTGAAAAATCTTTCGGTAACAGAATTTTACCAGCTTTCAGTTATAATTCAGGCTAAAAATAGCTATACGAAAGCTATCTAAATTAGAGTATTTCGACTAGTGACCTATATTACAGATTGTTTAACATTTGCATAATTATAGGATTCAAATCAGAATAGTTAGTTTTAATTATTTTACAGGTGTAGGAAGTTTATAGTAATTTATAGTAATTTTACTGATATAGTAATTTATATAGCAAATATATTATAATAAAATATCAGATTCATTTTTATTTGATTATCCTCTTATTCAAAGAACTTCAAAGTAAAAATAGATTTATAACTGATTTTTTTCTGACATAATAATTTGATTAAAAATAAATCTATTCGTTATAGATGATTAAATTATAAAGTTTATATAACTTAGCTTTTAGTTAGTTTTCAGCATTTCCTCACAACCTTCTCGTAACTCAAATCACATTTAAATTTCTGAGAAGTATCACACTTTACAGTTAATAAAATTTTTATTAGTTTAAAGCAAAATAAAGGACTATAATATATATTATTATATAATGCAATTAATGATATTTATTTTTATATTATTGTATGAATGCTTGTATTATAAAATAAATGATTACAAAATTTCTTTTTACTCTTAATCTTACACTGCATTTTGCATCAATAGTATTTCACAAAAAAATACTTAAAAGCTATAAAACATATTTGCAAACGCTTTTTCATTAATATTAAGAACAAGCTTGTAGACTACCTTAAAAAAGTTATTAAGGTCAAACAACTGCAAACCTTCACTAATATTGACGTAAAAAATATTAAACTGTAAAATGTAAAAATTTCTAATGATTATGACTTCAAGACTAAGATAAACTTCTTATAATAAAAAAGATTTTGAAATACTTTTTAGATTTATTGGCTAAAGAATATATTCATATCTTAGTCAAGTTACCTGTATCTAATGCCACTTCGAGCTATAAATAGGAATTACTTGACCATATTATATTGTTAGAAAAATCGCTTAATAAATCAGTTTATAATAGAGCTTTGTGAAAATTTTTCTAATAAGCTATTACAATATAAACTTTGATATTATTGTTAGCCAAAAATGGAAATCAAGTCAAGTGGATAGTAAATATCAAATACGTTACTTTTAAAAACCTTAAAGATTACATATATAAATTATACAAATTACAGTTAAAGCTAGTTATAAAGAACCTCTTTATAATAAATACTGAATATAACGAACTCACAATTTTTAAATTTTAATAATAATTCATTATAAAAAGTGTAATAATTCATAAAAAAGTATAGTAATTTATATAACGAACTTTTTTTTAATGAAATCATCAGTTCATTATAAAAAATGCTAACTGTACAGACCCTCGCCAAAAGTCTCTGAATGCTTTTTGGCTCAATGTAAAACTTAAAATTTTAAAGTTTATTAAAAAAATTTATTAATTTATTTATTAATGTA